CTGTCCACCTGGGCTTTTGCGCTGCACAGAGACGCTTCGCCGCCTATGACTGAACGTCAGTTGAGAGTCAGTCTCATGCAGACTGACCAATGAAGAGAGGGCCTCAAGTTAAGACCCTCTCCTCATTGGTCAGTCCACACAAGGTGGGTCAAAGGTTACTCTGGGCGGGTTACGTGTTGTCAGGCATTCAAGTATTGAGTATATTTACTGCATATTACAGTAAAATATTCTGTATGTGACCACATTATGGTGATCCTCGGGTCGTGATGATGGAGCCCTTGAATATTGTTGCCCAGGGTACAACAAAGTGTTAATCTGGCCCTGGTTCCGCCGTCACATTCCCGCAGAAACTGGTTGATCACACCGGGGCCAGACTACTAGCATGTGGTTTTACAACCACAATGTCCTCGGAAGCAAAAACGCTTTTAAAAGGGAGGGAGGAGTCCTAACTGTTGCTGCAGGCGTGTTGTGTGAGAGTGCAGTTAAATAGTGGTTAATATATTTTTGGGTTCAGTTGCTTTCATGTGGCCTAATGTGAGTCTATTTGGGATCATTGGAATGATCAGCAGCATTTCTTGATGTGACTTTATAGCAGTTGCCCAGGGCATCATCACAAGGAGGATGGCATTCATTTACTTTTGTTTTATTTGGCATTTTTTCAGTCATTTTTGGAAATAGTGATCAATTTTGATTAATTCACAGCCTATGTTTAATTACATTTAAAAATGTGTTATTTGACATCCCCAGTTATAATAAATGTCAACAGATGAGATCAAACAAAACAGATGAGAATTGCCCTTAAGCTGTTTAGATAGATGTAGCTTAGGGTCTCTGTCTATACACCTTATAAGACAATTTAGGTGATGGCATGTTGTTTTACTGCTATTGAACTGTTTTCTAATAATGTTGTGTTAAATAAAGTGAAGGAAGGAGAGAAATAACATTTCCCTAGCAGTTTTAAAAATTTCCCCATGTAATCCAATTAATCGATTAATCGTGTCGAGACCCCATCCGATTCATCGATTATCCAAATAATCGTTTGTTGAAGCCCTAATACATATATACATATATATATATACGTATATACATATATAGATATACATATATACATAGACAGATAGATAGATACATAGACAGATAGATAGATACATAGACAGATAGATAGATACATAGACAGATAGATAGATACATAGACAGATAGATACATACATAGACAGACAGACAGACAGACAGACAGACAGACAGACAGACAGACAGACAGACAGACAGACAGATAGATAGATAGATAGATAGATAGATAGATAGATAGATAGATAGATAGATAGATAGATAGATAGATAGATAGATAGATAGATAGATAGATAGATAGATAGATAGATAGATAGATAGATAGATGATAGATAGATAGATAGATAGATAGATAGATAGATAGATAGATAGATAGATAGATAGATAGATAGATAGATAGATAGATAGATAGATAGATAGATAGATAGATAGATAGATAGATAGATAGATAGATAGATAGATAGATAGATAGATAGATAGATAGATAGATAGATAGATAGATAGATAGATAGATAGATAGATATATGCATATATACATAGATATATATAGACAGACAGACAGACAGACAGACAGACAGACAGACAGACAGACAGACAGACAGACAGACAGACAGATAGATAGATAGATAGATAGATAGATAGATAGATAGATAGATAGATAGATAGATAGATAGATAGATAGATAGATAGATAGATAGATAGATAGATTGATAGATAGATTGATAGATAGATTGATAGATAGATAGATAAACATATACATATATACATAGATATATACATATATACATAGATTGATATAGACAGACAGACAGACAGACAGACAGACAGACAGACAGATAGATAGATAGATAGATAGATAGATAGATAGATAGATAGATAGATAGATAGATAGATAGATAGATAGATAGATAGATAGATAAACATATCTATATAGATATATAGATATCTATATAGATATATATATCTATATCTATATAGATATATAGATGTATATATATATATATATACAGAGAGAGAGAGAGAGAGAGAGAGAGAGAGAGAGAGAGAGAGAGAGAGAGAGAGAGAGAGAGAGAGAGATTGTGATAATTGTTGTATATTGCTGCATGGCTATTTCATTAACAGGATGACAATTTTGGTTTGAACTACATCAAAATCCTCATACTACCTGCAGCAGTAACAGAATTTGCCATAATGTTTTTCTAAACAAACCAAATACAGTTCTAATCCGTAAAACTGTTCTGAGAATGTTTGTGTACATTTAAGAACAGGACTCCAGAGAACTGCAAGATCTGAGAAAATATGAATATAGTGAATATATTACATAAATAATCAGAGAAAAACTCAGTCTGAGCTGAGCCAATGGCATGTGTCAAATCAAACCTAATCACACACTGATAGATCAACAAAGTGGGTCAGCGTTTCAATGGAAGCCTCCTTCAGGGCTAGCTGAGGAAAAAGGATAACTTCCATATTCATAGAGGGAATCTAAACTTTGATCAGAGCCTTAAAATTCCAAACTGCACTTTTTGTGATGAAAAAAAGCTCAATAGTTGAACAGCTGGGTACTCCAGACACATTCGTACGCAGTTACCTTGGGCAAGGTTACCAATAATGACGACTAGCAGTTTTTTTCATTAAACTTTGGCTGCAGCAGACTATTATCACTATACATATTAGCGATTGGGAAAAAATCCTTCTTCATTTATTATAAACCTAATAACCTGGTGGAGGACGGCTGTAAATTTCTCCTCACGTTATTCATTTTTTATGTTCGTTAAGTTATGTTAAAGTGTTATGAGCCATTTAAAATGCTTTAAAAATAGCTCCGCTTGGAAAATCTGGAACATTTCTCAAGGTTTTCATCTTCCGTCTGCAATATTTAAAGACAGTGATGCATTTTGGACAATGTCTCTCCGTGATGTAAAATGTGAGTGACATTCTCAAACCCGCTCTCACTGTGACCCATCGATGACTTCACTCAGAAGATAGAGTCTGAAACGAGGCGCAGTCTGAATCTTTGCTGGAAAAGTGAATAAGTCAAACAGCTGTGGAGCAGAACCCGTTCGGTGACAGGGAGGCAGCAGGGGAACTGAGGGGGTAAGTTATGAATAAAGAAGGGGGAGAGGTGAGCAATGAGAGTTAGATGAAGGGGAGAGAGGAGGAGAGAGAGACACCAAAATGCTGCCGTCACTTAACTCTAAAATGAAAGATCGATGAGCTTATTTAAATGTGCTCCCAGAGACGAGAGTTGGCTCAAATAAACCTTCACATTTATGAGGAGGGGCGTGGGCATCGATTGGCTGCAAGAAAAGGAGAGAGGGAGAGACAGGGGTAGAGGAGGTGGAGGTGAGTGAGGGAGAGGGCACAGGGATGCTAGGGAAAGACCTGGACCTGGGGGGAGGGGTGGGGGATATCAACCTTGCCTCATGAATTTCATCCTTTACCTCCTAAAATGAAACGCCCTAATAAATGCTAGATGGAGGGGTTGGAACCTGGAAAATCTACAGCCTTCGATTGGTCGCTTGGCACGGCTTATTAAATCAATAGTCCAACCCCCATCGTCCAGCCAGGCCAGCCTTGTCCCGAATCTGTTTCACTAATTTTCATTCAGCCCCCTACCCATTCAGCCAAGACAGATAGGAGGAGGGGGGGGGGTGAGGGGGGGAAAAGTGGGAGGTGGGGGTGGCGGTAACTGTGGGATCTGGTGGTGAGACCTTGACATTAATGGGAGGATTGAAGGAGCTGACTCTGCAACCCAAGGGAGGGATGAGTGAGGGTGTGTGTTGGGGGAGGGGAGGGGGGGTAAACAAAGTGTGTGACAAGTGGGAAATGAAGGAAGAGGAGAGCAACTTCTGACACAGGCAGAGGTGTTGTCATACCGTCGTCATTGATTGAAATGCAGGCACAGTTTTCTGAGTGACAAGCACTGCATTCCGCTTCAGCCTCTCTACATCTTCTCATCTCGCCTCCCCCCTTCACCCTACCCCTCCTTTACTCCTCTTGGCTACCCTTTCTCCCATAGCTCCTCTACTTGTATTGCACACTGGTGTCAGGCTCTTGAACGGGGCACATAGTCTCCATGCCTTCCAAACCAGACCCCCCCCCCCCCCCACACACACACACACACACACACACATTCTCTTTCACACACATTCCTGAGACCCCCTCCTCCACGCGACCCCAAAGTCTCAGCTCTACATTCTGCCCAGCACGCCATCTGTGACCCACAGAAAAGTGTGTGCCGACACCCAGTCTGACCTTTTCTGTGCTTTTGTTTTGCCGCTCTGTCACACTCCCATGAGGCACACACACACACTCACACACACACACACACACACACACACACACACACACACACACACACACACACACACACACACACACACTAGGAAACCTAAACACATCCATGCATCAAAAAACTGTTTCCTTCTGTATCACCAACACAACAACAGCACATAACTGGCAACAGAACCAATACATCATCATATGTGACTTCTCCCCGGACACGCTCAACAGTTACCTGCCTGTGGTAACCTCTGCAACAAGCCTTACACACTAATACTGACACCTGCAAATGCAAGCGGGTAAGCAGCAGCAAACCACTCAGATTAACTCTGTGTCCAGGTGTTGATGCATTTTAATGCCAAATCAGTGAAGCAGGTCACTGACTAAGACTGGGATTAGCAGACCCCCCTAAACACACTCACACTCTCCCCTCGGGCATCCTCATTAGCTTAATCTCACAATCTGAGCACCATCATAATAACAGTGATTATTCCATCTCGTTTTATGCAAAACAAGAAGAGCGAGCCCCTGCTGGATCAGAATAATCACTGCTATTCAGCAAGGAGAGAAATCAGTGTGTGAGTAAATATTTCCACTCTGCATCGTTTGACATTTGGTGCCAGGTCTGGTGGGAATGCAGCTCTTACCTTGGCCGTGCAACATGTGGCAGCGGCAGCTGAGTAGGAGCAGGAGACAAAGAGGCAGCCATCGACCCCCACTGCGCGCCGTCCCGGTTCTGGTACCAGATCCCCTGATCGTCACAGCCACCGTGGATCCATCACGGTTACTTTCCGGTTTCATCCTGGGAGAGAGGGGGGCTCCACCAAAAAAGCTCCCCCAGCCCTGTGCAGGAATGGGGAGGAATCAGGAGGAGCGGAAGCCTCCAGCACCGGTCGCAGCTCCGGGCTTCTCTCCGGAGCTCCAGGAGTTCACCAGCCCCGAGGTCCAGAAGTCGTTAAGAGGCAGCGGAGGAGAGAAGTGGCGAAAACACACTTTCTGTGTGGTGTGGCTTCAAGGTTTTACACAATCATAATCTCCAACGGAGTCCGCGGGCTTAAGAGACCTCGCTTTCATTTGGAAAGTTGAGAAAATGAAAATTAATATATTTGAGTGTGTTTATCGGCTTTAGTCCCTGCTATCAACCTCAAATCCGCGCTTGTTTTGACGTGTCCACCGGGGGATTTGTCCCGTGGATCATTTAGACACTGGTCGCATTAACAGAGAAGCGATAAAACGTGGAAACTATCCAACCTACCCACGAAGCTCTAAAAAAATCAATCCACTAATTGATTCCGTGAATGCCCTCTCTTGATTTGATGTGCAAACAAATTAGAGAAAGAGTCATCCAGAGGGTTTTTTCAGTTGTGGGAAGCTGAAGAGCTGTCAGACTTTCCAGTTCTAACTTTGAACCCAAGTGCGTTGGTGAGGCTGGATTCCTCCCACTCTGCTCCCGGAGCGGGGCTCTCCTTCCTCTGATGCCGGCGGAGGGAACTTGGCGCGCGGCCGTGATGCGCAGCACCTCGCGGAGGTGAAAATGGCACAGCAGGTTAAGAAAAGCACATCAGCTTGTTACAAGTTTCACAATAAAAGTCCACAGCTTCTACACACGCACCATGGCACCCCAAAAAACAGAGCAAGTCGCTACAAAAACACCGAAACGGTTCTTTAGCTGCTGCGAAAACGGAGCCTGGTCCAGTCAGCGGTCTCCAGTAAAACTCAGAAAAAGAAAACTGCTCATTCATTTAGCTCATCAAAAGCTGTTCTCAGTTCCTACTCACGAGTTTCCGTCCTCCGTGAGCCAGGTCTATCCGGTGGGCTCTGTCTGGGCACCTTGTTGGTGCTCGGTGAGCGGTGTGGGGCGACGCGTCTCCCTCAACTGAACACCTGCCACCCTCCTCTCCTCGGCTCCGTACCGGTTGTGTGGGAGAGAGAGTGCTCGTTTTCAAACCACGAGTGTTTTATGAAAACTACAATTTTACGTTTCAGTAATGTTTTACAATACTTTCACCGCTGTGGTATCCGTTTACTCACACCGTTAGCGCGAGCCTCGCTATGCTCGCCTATGCTACTAAACTCTAAAAACTAAATTTACATTCACTATCATCCCTCGCTGCTGATTGGTCGAGCGAGTTGTATTGGTGTCTCTTATTGGATAATCCAAACGAGGGGGTGTCTCTTATTGGATAATCCAAACGAGGGGGTGGGATAAAACGCCTGCTTTTAGATCGTAAAGGATGGCGCCTCCAAAACCCCACGCAGAAACAAAAGTGTGACAGACTTTCTTAAAACACATTTCAATAAGTTTTGATTATATAAAAAAATAAACGAGTGTTTTATACAATGTACTGCTAAGGGGAAATGGGTGAAAAAAGTTTGTATCTCTTGAGCAGTGGCACACCCAGGAAACGTTTTTATGGGGGGCCAGTAAAAATTTTGGGGTGGTACACAAAATTGTTCCCCATGTGGTAACTGAGTGTTAAGCCTAGCTGAGCAGTGCACCGTCATTCTTTTAAAAACAACAGGCCTATGCATCAAACACGTTTACCTCAAATTTGCGGAAAACAAACATTTCGTAAAAAAACACAACATTTCTAATAGTTTCTTCAGTTGTTGTTTCAATTATTTAATTATCTTTATTTTAAAAACTGCTTAATTTGCTTTTTTGTCAGAAACATCCACTAAACTATTGGAATTTACAATTTTCTTTGAAAATGGTCATTCTCGGTGACAGGCATATTTAAATTGTGATTTATTTACTTATTACATATATTTATTGGCAATAACAATGTTTGTTTGTTTGAACATGAATGGGATGGTCTTCCCAATGGGGGGTCAACAATTTTCCAAGGGTGGCCACTGCTCCTGCTCACAGGATTGTGCTAGTGTGCACCAGATTGTATAGTTTCTCATACGCACCAGACAATATCTACTGAGCTCCTAAGGGAAGTTGGTTAAAAAAAGGTTTCCTGTGAGAACCAGATTCTTTCTGTGTGCACCAGATTTGTGCGCATGAGACAAGATACTACCTGATGCTCATGAGAAACGGTGTAGATATTGCAGTTTCTAGGTATTATAGACCCCCTGAATGGAAATGTGCAAAAATGTTGGAAAAATTCTGCTCACCAGATGACTTCTGGAGAACAACAGATATTATCTCATGTGATAATGCAAACCAGATAGTATTTATTGCACACCAGACAGTGTCTTGTGTTGATCAGATAGGATGGTTTCTGCTGTGCACTAGATAATATCTGGTATGCACAAAAACCTTTTGGGTTGTTTGGTTGTTTTGTTTTTACCAATGTCCCTATATGACCTCAGTATTTCAGGGTCTCAGTAGTAGGACAATCAGTAAGAAAGGTTTCACTTCTCTGCAATGCTCATAAAATGTTGTATTTGACCTTAAATATGTAGTTAAGATGTAACAAACCACTACAGGTGGTTTAGCTACACAAATAATACAATAACTGCCTGAAGCCATATCTTAATGCTGCTGATAACCTAGTTTCTTCCATAGTGAGGGTTGTTAAATGGCACATTAATATTAAAGGCTACCACACAGTGACCTTATCTTTTATTGCCTGAATAAATTCTTAGTGTCAACCTTTCTATTCCCAGAGTGGCCAAAATAGTCTCTCATGTCATCAAACTGTCCTAAATACACTCATTCAAGCACCTTGGCCAGTTAATTGTTGTATCAAGGGTTATTTCTGAACTGGTTTGCAAAAAATGCTTTTTTTAAATCAAATGACCATGATGCTTTTCAGATCAGGAAAATAGGAGGGTTAATCTGGTCTGCCAATCTTTACTCGCATGAATCAGAGTAAATTTAAACATTGAATTAAACGTAATTTATAAGGATGGTCATTTTAAAACATCTGTTATTACAATTTCCACACAAGGGGTGCCAGACAAACTCGAGAAATAACTCCTCTATGAAAGAAATGTGCTTTTACGTTCGTACCATTGGCTAATAGATTTTTATTTCTCAGGGGAATGTTTCAAGGAGTAAATAAAGTATGACCATGTCATAAGAAAAAAAAAACAGAAACGTTTGACACAACTTGGAAATGATCACTGATTAAACCATTCACATGAAGGGGTCGATTATACTTTTTTAAACAATGTGACAACATACAGAATGTGTTGTTAATTAGACCTTTAAGTTGACTAAAATGACTTTGTGTTGTCCTGTGTTGCCATTTAGTTGTTCGCTGTCTTGTTGACTAAATCTGACATTTTAGAAGGGTTAGAACCAAAAAGCACCTAATGAATAGTCTGTATTTTAAAGCTGCAATAGCAAATCTGCAAGCTTGCTAACTTTTAAAACACAAACATGGAACTCTCACCCCTCTCGTTAGCTATCACCCTACGTCCACCGGAACCCGGGATGCGCATTTCCAGAGGAAACAAGAATGTGCTAAACACCAGTTGCTGTTTTCAACATCCAAACCTCTTTAGTTGTTCGTGTCAAATGGTGTTTTTCCTAAAGTGGAAGTGGTAACAGCCGGCTGTTTCTCCTTCTCTCATATTGTCGAGCGCAGAACCTCTAAGTGGTGTTCTGTTGCCAAATACTCAAGTGTGTAATGAATGGAGGATCCAGGGAAATGCAGCGGTTTGTGAGACCGACCTCCGAATGGTCCAATCGTTGCTTTCAGTTCGAGCCGTGTAATTGGCAGAGGTTTTTAGATAAATGCAAGAAAACCATTTCATTATTTTTATATATATTTCCACAAAACATTTACAGTTATACTGTGTTCGAATGTTGTTAAGAGGCATGTTTTGCAGATTTGCCATTGCAGCATTACGTTTCTATGACGTCCTTGTCAAACTGGATATGTTTTGCTTTATCGAATCTCATTTCTGTCTTCTTTCCTCTGGTGGAGAATGTAAATATAGCAGATTATAAGTGCCAATTTTATATTTCTTTTACAATAGATAAGTGTATGATGGATCTATTTACAATAGTGAATAATGAATTCAGTGACAAAAAATCTTGAATATTACTTCATATATAAGATTTTAAATGGTTGATTTTACAACTTCTCACAAGTTATTTTAAATAGAAACAGGTCAGGGTTATTTTTTAATTAAATTCCATCACATTCTTTAAATAAATCATCATCAGAAGTGCTGGCTTCGTCCTAATAGACTGATTATTCTCATTTATGTCATAACTGCCCTTTAAATTGACTAGCCTCTCATCACAACCTTTCCTGCAGGCGACTTGAGTTATTATGCTTTCCACATCTGACATCAAATCTTCAAATAAAGGACTGCGGTTTGGAAGAATGTTGAATTTTCCCTCTATTAGAGCCCCACATGTCAAAATGAGCAGAGCTCATGTGGCAGCTCGTAGTGACCCGGTACCTTCAGCATGCTTCTGTCAGATGAGAAAAGCTGGCGAACCACCAGGGCCTTTAATTGCTCTTCAGTTGGTGTCAGCCATCTCATTGGTGGGGTCTTCACAGGTATTTACTGGTAGCTTATAAACAAAACTTCACAGTGGCTCACCTGTCAAAGTCCTCCAACATTTTTTTACCGCTGCACACCTGGCTGACCCACTCCACCCTCTGCGTGTGCCTGATGGCCTCTGCATCTGCGGGCCTTCTCCCCTTTTGTCCACCACCTAACCGATCTCCATCCATCTCCACACCAGGCCAGTGGCAGCATGTTTGTTGGTTATGTCAAACTACTTCCACATTTTGGATGACTGCCAGTTGCTATGATACCATGACTGCTTTTACAACCTTGAAGCTTGCTCAGATGAAATGCATTTTTATTTCCCTCTCACTCACAAAAAATTGTTTCCTTGTTTGCAAGCATGACTGTTTCTTTATCTGCATTATCTCCAAGAGCCAGCTGGTATGACTCCTGCACGCCTCCCTGGTGATGTATTCCAGGCACGTCCAACCAGGAGGAGACCTAAAGGAAGACCCAGGACACACTGGAGGGATTATGTTTATATCTGACCTGGGAACGCCTCAGAATTCCCCTGGAAGAGCTGGCCCAAGTGGCTGGGGAGAGGGAAGTCTGAGCCTCTCTGCTTAGGCTGCTGCCCTCATGACCTGACCTGGTTAAATGGATGGATGGATGATCTTCAGTCATACTTTCTATGATGCTCCTAAATTTGACCAGTGTTGCATTTATCCCACTCAGGGCACAGCTCTATCAGACCAGGCAGGTCGTACAGGTTGTTTTATTATGTGGAGCTCGTTTTATCACATTTTTGCTGGAAGGGTGTAAATTCTCCAGAACAGACCTAAACTCAGAGAGAGCTGTAAATGTTCAAGGTAATTCTTTCTTTAAGTTTTACTTTCTGGTGTACCAGGTCAGCTTTTTAATAATGAACAAACCCTCTGATAAAAAAGGAATAATTTGAATAATAAGTTTAAAAAAAAACCTTTAAAGTTATTCCCACTAAACACACCCAGTAACGGTAAAGCTGTTCATTATCAGAACAATTCACCCCAAAGCTAGAAACCAAAGAATGCAGATTTAATGTGATGAAGATATTTTATCCAGTACTTTTACCTAGAGCTGCGCAGTGGCGCAGTGGTTAGAGCTGTTGCCTTGCAACAAGAAGGTCCTGGGTTTGTTTCCCAGCCTGGGATCTTTCTGCATGGAGTTTGCATGTTCTCCCTGTGCATGCGTGGGTTCTCTCCGGGTACTCTGGCTTCCTCCCACAGTCCAAAAACATGACTGTTAGGTTAATTGGTCTGTCTAAATTGTCTTTAAGTGTGAGTGTGTGTGTGCATGATTGTTTGTCCTGTGTGTCTCTGTGTTGCCCTGCGATGGACTGGCTCTCTGTCCAGGGTGTACCCCGCCTGATTGCCCATTGACTGCTGCAGATAGACACCAGCCCCCCCATGACCCTACATGGACAAGCAGGTTCAGAAGATGGATGGATGGATGGACTTTTACCTAATTATTCAAAGTTTCTCAGTCAACATTTGAATTAAGAAATGCATTAAACACACAGAGCTTCATGAAATATGAATTGGAGAATTTGAAGACGCAAAACATACTCAACCAAAACGATCACAAACTTGAATATTAATTGGTCTAATATTAGTC